CAGAATACAGAATGGAACATAGAACACAGAATACAGAATAGAACACAGAACACAGAATACAGAATGGAACATACATAGAACACAGAATACAGAATAGAACATAGAACACAATACGGAATAGAGATTAGACACGTGTAGCCTTCCAGCCAACTTTACACCCATGTTCACAGGCTTCTACGTCTAAGAAAACACTGCCGCAATCAGAGGAAACATGCGAACGCGTTCCCGCGCGTCTACTACGCGACGTAAAGCCGAGATTTCGTCGAATAGCCGAGGATGCGGCGGTCACGGATGAAGCCGCGGATACGAGCTCACGTACGATGACTGGATGCACACAGAAGATGCAGATGAGCAGTGAGAAGTAGAGGCTCTGCAGCCACAGCACCGTCCTCGTCTTCCCGAACCTACGCACAAAAACAAACGTCACGCGTTAAAGTCTTTGTGTCGAATATCATTTCCAACCGATCTCGTGTTTTCCCCACTTTTACAACACTTACCGTTATTGCTTGAGTAACAGCAACTGTTTAGAGTAATGCTAATATGTCTTAGAGCCGTACCTGGCCATAATCAGCAAAACATGCAGGATTCGAATAGTGATTACTCGTTTTGATTACCACCGCCATTTCTTGTTAGCGTGAGATATCGACAAATTTTGTAAATAGAAACAAAGTAAACTGCACAGAATCAGATGTCCTTTTGTTTGAATTAGGTGCACTAGGGATGCACTAGTAACTTGCTGGTGCACTAGGGATGCACTAGTAACTTGTGTCGCTATAATCAAATACACCAATGCCCATGGTGTTACGGCGTGTTCAATTCCAACGTTCCGGCGTTTCTATGCTATAACAACATAAATTCTTAGTGTTTTTCAAGTCAGTAATATATCCGCTATGAGCTGAGACTATATTTCACTATATTTTTTTCAGATTGTGCGTTTCTGAGCAATGGTTTCGAAATAAATACTAAATAATAAATCACGATCACCGTTACACCTATTAATAACATAGGTACAAGCACAGACAACCCCCTAGCAGCACCTTAACACCTGAAGACGATTCCTCTAATACGATGCAACCACTATCAATAAAAGAAACTAATACAAAACAAAAAAACGAAAGACAACAACAATACAATAACACAGGTAGTGTTGGAAACCGAGCGAGAGCGCAAAAAAACCACTCTACGGAGCAGCAATTAAGGTGTTAGGACTACATAACGAATGATTACACAAGACCCTGTTGGTGATCACGATATTTACTCGTACGAATACCGATGAGAACAGAATTCACGAACCTGTAACTGTAGAGTACAGTGAGGTAGGCAGCGGCGACGACGACGGCCGCACACAGAGTCCACGCGATGTACAGCATGAAGGAAGGCAGCACCACATGCCTCCTCTTCCTCCTCAACACGCTCTCCCTCACGCGCTCGTGCGACCCTGCAACAGAGACGGCCATGTGCAAGATATGTCCGCGCCATTTTATTGCATCTGTACCTAACATGTTTTCCCGTCGTTAAATCAAGTTTTTACTTACTTACTTACAACATCCAAGCCAACAAACTGATAAACTATACGTGGCTCTTGATAAATGTTGTAAGAGATAAAGTATTATTATTCTATTTTTGATATATGATTTCTATATTCTTTCTATACGATTTCTTTATTCTATAGTATTTATTATTATCTGTTAAGTTTGTGTTAAGACCCAGACAATGCTACGACCGATTTTGTTTCTGTCAACCGAAACTGATCTAGTCTCCAACGATGCCCAACCCTCTGCCCCGCCCTGCCCGGCTCTCCCAGGGGGAGGCTGGATGAAGGACTCTACGATTCCAGACTCGACGCTCGATGTCTCCAGCGTGGAGTTGTGAAGCCCTCCGCCCCGTCACCCTCCGCCCTACCACGCCCCACCCTGCCCTGCCCTACCCTGCCCCGCCTACACCGCCCCGCCCCGCCTCCTCCCTGGCTGGATGAAGGACTCGCTCACCGACTACGATTCCGGACTCCACACTCGATGTCTCCAGCGTGGAGTTGTGAAGCCCTCCGCCTCCGCCCGCGCTCATCGCCGCCTGGTCCTGACTGACGCAGTCCTCGAATCCAGACTCTATCTCCACACCTGCGAGCAGAGACGGCACGCATAAAAAACACATGTAACGTAAAGCACACAGCGAGACGGCCCCCATAAAACACCTGTGAGTAAATCTCCACACCTGTACATGCGGAGAGAGACGGCCGCCATAAAAACACATGTAACGTGAAGCACCCAGAGAGACGGCCCCCATAAAACACATGTGAATTAAATCTCCACACCTGTACGTGCGGAGAGAGACGGCACGCATAAAAACACATGTAACGTAAAGCACACAGCGAGACGGCCCCCATAAAACACCTGTGAAGTAAATCTCCACACCTGTACGTGCGGAGAGAGACGCCGTAAAAACACACGATCTCCAGAAAACCAAAGTCCTCCAAAACAGACGGCACTCGTAAAAAAACACGCACACGTGATGAACGCACAGTAGCAACGCAGCGAGACGGCCCCCATAAAACACGAACTTGACACCTACACGCGCGGAGACAGACACGGCACCAATGAAAACACACGAACATGTAACGTGAAGCGCACGCACGCGTAAAGCGCACGAAAGACACAAGCCCCGCTATTTTGTAGTACTAGTAGTTTCATTCGTAAAATATCGCGTGAAACCGCCTCGCGATAACCCCGCAACCGTCTCGATTTGAAGACAAAGCGCAAAAACCGGTTCGTGATAACCCCGCAACCGTTTCGAATCGAAAGCGAAACGCAAAATCCGCCCTCGCACGCACCTGTGTTGCCGCCCGGCTTGTCCACGTGCCCCGCCTCCCTCCAGGTTTCGCCAGCGTCGCTCGGTGCGGCGCGTCGCCTCTCTGCTGCCTCGTGTTTCGCGTAGAGCCGCTGCGCCCACTCCTGCAGCGCCACCCACGACTGCAGCGAGTGGTCGAGCACGTAGCTGGGTGTGTGCTGCTGGGGCGGTGGTGGGAAGGAGGCGGGGGCGGGCGAGCGGTTGTCGCTCGCTACCTCCCTGCTGCTGCTGCTGCTTCTTCTCTCACCTCTCACTTGTCCCCTCTGTGAAACGAAAGTGAAACAGAGACAGAGTCAAAGAACTTTCAATGGCAAAAGGAAAATTTACGGATTTTCAAGGACAAAGGGCAAAATTGAAGGACTTTCAAGGGCTGTGGGAACCATGTGGTGAGGTACACCCTCCAGAGTATAACAGGAGGATACTGATAATAGAAGCTGATTCTGCGGTTAGTGTTTGTCTGTGTTGTAAGTTTCTGTGTCTTCTGTAGGGGTAATTGGACTTATTCCCAAGGACTTTCAAGGACAAAAGGAAAAATTAATGACTTTCAATGACAAAATGAAAAATTAAGGACTTTCAAGGACAAAGGGCAAAATTCAAGGACTTTCAAGGGCTGTGGGAACCCTGTCAAGGACAAAAGACAAAATTCAAGGACTTTCAAGGGTTGTGGGAACCCTGTAGAGGTAAGGTACATATCCTCCTGCTTCTCATTTACACATTTGATAGCGTTAGAAGTGTCGGTAGGTTCAGAGTATTAGAGGATACCGACGGTCGGAGCGTCTGCTGTTATGAGGTTCTGTGTGGTTCTGTAGGGGGTAAGGTACATACATACAGGATGCGGAATGAACGCGAGTCCGGAGTCAAATATTCACTGATTTACTGTCGGACTCCCTGATTTGAAATATGCAGGAGTCCGTGTGACTCGCTGAAAATTCTGCTATATACTAACTAGTTCGTTCCATAGCACGGCCTCGCGGAATTACCGTATTTTTTCAACAAATGTCCAAAGAAAATTTGGCAGACGTGCAACCGCATGAATCTTCAAAATAAGCACATGCGTTATTGTTAATATCTTTAGTTTTAAACTTCAGACTGAGGACTCCCTCATTTTGCTGCGGACTCCCTCTTTTTGAGGGTAGGGAGTCCGTTGGGCTCAAGTGTTCAAAACTTAATTTCTAACCATACATACCCTCCTGCTTCGCCGGAACAGCAGCTGCAGCAGCAGGTTGATGGGCTGCACAGTGAAACAGGACACAAGTCCGACCAGCACCGCTTGCCACGACACGTCCAGCAACGTAAACTCACCCCGGTACTGCAAACGAACACATTTATTTACATAAAATAATAATTATTATAACATAAAGAATTATTAATTTATTTAAATTTCATAAATTAAAAAAATAATTTTAGTAATTTTCTAATTACTGTTATGGATTCATTAAAAACCAATTCTAGTATTGTCAAGCATATATATATTATATCTGCTTTTTTTCAGAGTTTTGAGCAGCGATAACGTCAGTGACAGTGCTGTTAAAAATCGGCCACCAGGGGAAGTACGCCCCTTGTGCAGACTTTGTACAAACAGTAGGCGAGTCCGTACCTACTCACATTGTGCACTCTTGCCACGTAAGACTGCGGGGTACGGTATACGTAACCGTTGGTAACACTAGCAGCTACGATGCTGTTATACACTTACCTCCTGGTGTGCGTGCTGGTACCAGGCGGCAGTGAGATTGCAGGGTACGGTATACATAACCGTTGGTAACACTAGCAGCAATGATTCTGTTATTCTTTACTTACCTCCTGGTGCGTGTGCTGGTACCAGGCGGCAGTAAGAGCCATGTTGGAGAGGCAGAGAGCCAGGCAGCAGCCGAGCCGCTGCACGCGCGTGAACGGACTGAGCGGTGGGCGGGCGTACACCGACAACCAGACGTGGTAGTCGGAGAAGTACTGCAGTGCCTTGTACCAGAACACCTGCCAAAATACACGCCTGTTATGGTTACACTCACAGACAATAATTATATAGACTATATATATATATATATATAATTATTATATACACTATATAATATCATATATCTTAGTGATACACGTTGGTTATAATACAGATAAAAATACTAATTGATGACAGATATGTACAGGGCCTAGCTTTCATTGCGGCACAAATACACGCACAACATTTAAGCAGTCACCGCAAGTCTGCACCCGGTGAATCACTCCCAGTATACATGGCAGCACAGGGAGAGCAAAGGAACTGAGAGAGAGGGAGGGAATTAGGAGAGAGCAAAGGAACCGAGAGAGAGGGAGGGAAGGGAATTAGGAGAGCAAGAACTGAGAGAGAAGAGAGAGGGAGAGGAACACGGCGTAAACAGAACTAAGAGCGAACCACGATACTGAAAGCAATAATACACTCGATGAGAGAGAGAGGAGAAGAGAGAGAGAGAGAGAGAGAGAGAGAGAGAGAGAGAGAGAGAGAGAGAGAGAGAGAGAGAGAGAGAGGAGAGAGCAGAGAGAGAAGAGAGGAGAGAGAGAGAGAGAGAGAGAGAGAGAGAGAGAGAGAGAGAGAGAGAGAGAGAGAGAGAGAGAGAGACAGAGAGAGAATCAGGCGATAAGAAGAGAACTAAGAGAGAACACTGGAACTGGAAGCCAATAACGACATCGAGAGGAGAGAGAGAGAAGAGAGAGAAGAGAGAGAGAGAGAGAGAGAGAGAGAGAGAGAGCAGAGACAGAGACAGAGACAGAGACAGAGACGACAGAGACAGAGACAGAGACAGAGACAGAGACAGAGACAGAGAGAGAGAGAGAGAGAGAGAGAGAGAGAGCGAGATAGAGAGAGAGTAGAGAGAGAGAGAGAGACGAGACAAGAGATAGAAGATAGAGACAGAGAGAAGAGAGAGAGAGAGAGACAGAGACAGAGATAGAGATAAGAGACAGAGACAGAGAGAGACAGGAGAGAGAGAGAAAGAGGGAGAGAGAGAGAGAGAGAGAGAGAGACAAAGAGAGAGAGAGAAAAAAGAGGGCGCGCAGGATGAGAGAGAATTACTCGCCTTGCGAAAGCCAGGCTTGAAGTCCTGTGCGACCATGACCTCTCGTTCGACCTTGCCATCGTTCTCCTCCACCGCGTACCACTTCTCGCACTCAAAGTAGTAGTGTCGCGCGGCGTTGGCGTCCTCGACGGTGACGCGGCTCAGGTACCAGCTTGGCGAGATGCCGGCGTTGTGTGCCACAGCTGGACTTCCAGATGCAGCCGAGAGTGCGCGGCGTGCTGCGAGAAAGCGAGTAGGAGTCAGTATTGAGTATCTATACACACGGCAGAGAAGACGAGGGAGGAAGGAGAGAGAGGGAGGGAGGGAGAGCGAGGAGGAGGGAGAGAGAGCGAGGAAGAGGGAGAGAGAGCGAGGAAGAGGGATAGAAAGAGAGAGGGAGGGAGAGGGAGAGAGCAGAGGAGAGAGAGAGAGAGAGGAGAGAGAGAGAGAGAGAGAGGAGAGAGAGAGAGAGAGAGAGAGAGAGAGAGAGAGAGAGAGAGAGAGAGGAGAGAGAGAGAGAGAGAGAGAGAGAGAGAGAGAGGAGAGAGAGAGAGAGAGAGAGAGAGAAGAGAGAGAGAGAGAGAGTAGAAGCGAGAGAGAGAGAGAGAGAGAGAGAGAGAGAAGAGAAAGAAAGAGGAGAGCGAGAGAGAGAACGAGTGAAAGAGTGAAAGAATGAGAAAGAAAGAGAGAAAGAGGGAGAGCCTAAAGAGTTAGTCGACGGAGGAAAGCTAGAGACTAGTGGCTTACGTCATGATGAAGGTGTCGCATGACTGTCTCTCAAATAGCGGCTGACCATCACACAGAGTGTATATCCGTGAATGAAAACGCATCGATACATGTATCGTGAATGGTCAAACGTATTAATAAGTGCATTGTCGAGGTGTATTGCGATACATGGACATTGTTAACCGTGAGTCAACGAGGAAGACTAGGACTAGGAAGGAAACTAGTGACTTACGTCATGATGAAGAAGGAAAGCTGGACTGGGAAATAGAAATGGAAGCTAGTCTAGGAAGGCTGGAGGACTTGGCGACTTTACGTCATGATGAAGGTTCGCAGGACTGTCTCTCGACAGAGGCTGCCGTCAGACGACACCAGCTCCCTCGTCTCTGACATGCCGCTGCCCCGTGCAAGATCAGGCTCACCTGTGTTAACAAAAAATAGTAGAGCCTGAAAAAAAATCGGGTCGGTGAGAGGTCGAGGGAAGCCCCCGAAGATATAGATTTCTGTGCAATATAAAACATTTGGTGACATTTCCTGTAAGGTATGGAAATTAGAAAATACTACAATCGATTTAATTTGTAACATAAAAACTTGGATGAAACACTGTCATACAAGAATAATAAACAAGCATACATAGTAAGATCCCTTAGATGCAATTCACTTTTAGAAAAACAAATTAAATAAAAAATTTATTAAAAAAATTATTGTTGTTGAATTTCTTTCCAGAAGGAAATCCTTCTAAGACCAGTTTAACACCAGTGTTAACACCAATGGTTTGAGTAGTGAGGTTAAGGTAAGAGCCAGGGACGACGACTCTCGTCGGCTACTATGAACGGACGGATTAGCGTCGTTGGCACCCGAAGAGAACTTTCAATACAACATGTACAATGCCCAAAAATAACTAAACCTGATGGGTTATGCCGCTGAACGCAGGTGTCATTTGTTTCATCGTTAAAACGTTAAATCATACTCTCACAAACGCCGCTGCATGCAGCGCCCCCTACCTTCGCGGTGGTGCCGGGCGCCCGGTGACGGCCCGTCTCGATGACGATGCGGTACGTCTGCTTGTCCTTGGCGGAGTTGTCGACGAGGTGGACAGGGCGCGCTTCGTCGCGTCGTGGAGATCAGCTCGAGCGCACAGCGCGAACACGAGCGCAGCAGAGCAGTGCTGCACCAGCAGGCCGTAGCTGAGAGCGTTCTCATTCAACCTGAGAGAAGAGGGTCGAGGAAGGTTGATGTTGGTCAACAAGATAACATGCGAATCTACGCGAGCGCGGACTGATGACTCTGACAATATCGGTACTGGACTCCGGTCAATTGATTGATTAACGACTTGGATTGACGCTCTGACTGTTACAAAATCATGGTAATTGTAACAGGAACACTGTTCATAGGTGTGGTAGCTTTGGTGTGGTAGCTTGGGATATCTGTGGTAGTTTAGGTGTGGTAGTTTAGGTGTGGTAGTTTAGCTGCGGTAGTTTAGCTGCCGGTAGTTTAGGTGCGGTAGTTAGGTGTGCGGTAGTTGTAGTGTGGTAGCTTGTTTAGCTGTGGTAGTTTAGCTGTGGTAGTTTAGGTGTGGTAGTTTAGGTGTGGTAGTTTAGCTGTGGTAGTTTAGGTGTGGTAGTTTAGCTGTGGTAGTTTAGGTGTGGTAGTTTAGGTGTGGTAGTTTAGGTGTGGTAGTTTAGGTGTGGTAGTTTAGGTGTGGTAGTTTAGCTGTGGTAGTTTAGCTGTGGGTAGTTTAGGTGTGGTAGTTTAGTGTGGATAGTTTTTAGGTTGTGTAGTTTAGGGTGTGGTAGTTAGGTGTGGTAGTTTAGGTGTGGTAGTTTAGGGGTGGTAGTTTAGGTTGTGGTAAGTTTAGGTAGTAGTTTAGCGTGTGGTAGTTTAGGTGTGGTATTTTATGTTGTAGGTGTGGTAGTGTTAGGGTGGTAGTTTAGGTGTGTAGTTAGGTGTGGTAGTTTAGTGGTGTGGTAGTTAGGTGTGGTAGTTTAGGTGTGGTAGTTTAGGTGTGGTAGTTTAGGTGTGGTAGTTTAGGTGTGGTAGTTTAGGTGTGTAGTTTAGGTGTGGTAGTTTAGTGTGGTAGTTTAGCTGTGGTATTTAGCTGTGTAGTTTAGGTGCGGTAGTTTAGGTGCGGTAGTTTAGGTCGGGTTTAGGTGTGGTATGTTTAGGTCGTGGTGTGTAGTTGGTGTGGAGCATTCTCATTCACCTGAGAGAAGGCGGGCGAGAGAGAGGGAACGTCAACGTCTTAGACCGCCCACGCGTATTATGCATCGCTGGATTGATGGCTCTGATGACTGATCGGTACTTTAGGACTACGATTACTACAATTTCACAGTAGCTGAGGCATTCTTATAGAGCCTGGCACATGCACGCAGGCAAGAGAGAGAGGAAAGGAAAGTCGACGTGTTAATGACGTGGACCAGCATGCGTATCTACGTGCGTGGCGCTGACGGCTCTGATGATATCGCTACTGGACTGCGGTCAATTTTGAACTTACAAACTGCAAGCGTTAGTGTGATTTTAATCGTTTTTATTATAAAAACTTGATAGCTTGATTCAATTATCTCTGATGATATCAGTACTTGACACTATGGTTGTATGATAATATCGACTACCCCTAATTCCGCCTCGAAACACTGCAAGCTTTTGCACGATTTCAATCGTTTGCGTAATAAAAACTTGATAGCTTGATTCAATTATCTCTGATGATATCAGTACTTGACACTATGGTTGTATGACAATATCGACTACCCCTAATTCTGCCTCGAAACACTGCAAGCTTTTGCACGATTTCAATCGTTTCCGTAATAAAAACTTGATAGCTCTATTATCACTGACGATATTGGTACTACCAGGACTACGATCGATTGGCTCCAACATACTGCAAGCATTTGCACGATTGCAATAATTGAGACAAAAAACTACAGCTTTGATTCAATTATCTCTGACGATATCGGTACTGGACTACGCGTAAATTTGCAATCATTTGAGACAAAAATCTGACAGCTTGATTCGATTATCTATGGCGATAGCAGTACTTAGGAAATAGCTCTGTTTCGC